TTCCCAAGAGGTAGGATTACAGTCATGCATCACCACTCCTGTCTTTGAGGTATTTGGAAAATTAAGAAATGCTAAGTGCTTGAGGAATAGATATCTCTCTCTAGGAGATAGATAGGGAGACATGAACACCACGGCATACACGTGGATGGAAGCAACACAAGACAGTTAATAAACATATACATTATGTATAATCAAGATCACATAGTATTTGCCTTTTATTTCACCTGGCATATAAAACTTGTATTTATACTTTAAAAAATTAAGAAATGGTCTACAGTGGGCAATTATAGAAAAATCAGAACTTGAAAACTAGATGAATGCAGCTTGTTATGGAGACACAACGACAGGCAACTGACAGGCCATCCATCCTAGAAACATGCTTTACTAGCTGAACAAAAGTGAAAGCTGTTAACACAAGCACAAAGAAGCTTTTGAGAATTCATTAGCTTCCTGGGTTAGACTATATTTTGAAATTTAATCTCTCTTCACTTCTTTTTTATTTTAATTTTAATTATTTATTTTATTTAAGTTTATTCATTTTGTATCCCAGCTGGAGCTCCTTCCCTCACTCATTCCCAACCCCACCCTCCCTCCCTCTTCTTCTCCTATGCCCCTCTCCAAGTCCACTGATAGGGGAGGTCCTTCTCTCCTTCCATCTGACCCTAGCCTATCAAGTCTTATCAGGACTGGCTGCATTGTCTTCCTCTGTGGCCTGGCAAAGCTACTCCCCCATCACAGGGAGAGGACCAAAGAGCCAGCCACTGAGTTCATGTCAAAGACAGTCCCTGTTCCCCTTACTAGGAACACTTGGAGACTGAACCACCACAGCCTGCATCTGTGCAGGGGTTCTAGGTTATCTCTATACATGGTCCTTGGTTGGAGTATCAGTCTCAGAAAAGCCCCCTGTGCCCATATTTTTTGGTTCTGTTGCTCTCCTTATGGAGATCATGTCCCCTCCAGGTCTTTCTATCTCCCACTTCTTTCATAAGATTCCCTGCACTCTGCCTAAAGTTTGGCTATGAGTCTCAGCATCTGCTTTGATACCTTGCTCTGGGTACAGTCTTTCAGAGGCCCTCTGTGGTAAGCTCCTGTCCTGTTTCCTGTTTTCTCCCTCTTCCAATGTCCGATGTCTTGCCTTTTTGAGTGAGGATTGATCATCTTACCCAAGACCCTCCTTCATGCTTAGCTTCTTTAGGTATACAGATTTTAGTATGTTTATTCTATATTATATGTCTAATATCCACTTATAAATGAGTATATACCATGTGTGTCTTTCTGCTTCTAGAATACCTCACTCAGGATGATCTTTTCTAGAGTCCACCATTTGCCTGCAAATTTTATGATTTCCTTGTTTTTAATTGCTGACTAGTATTCCATTGTGTAAATGTACCACAATTTCTGTATCCATTCTTCAGTTGAGGGGCATCTGGGTTGTTTCCAGATTCTGGCTATTATGAATAAAGCAAATGTCCTTGTATACTTGAGCCTCTTTTGGATATATGCCTAGGAGTGGTATAGTTGGATCTTGAGGTAGCACTATTCTTAATTGTCTGAGAAATTGCCAGATCGATTTCCAAAGTGGCTGTACAAGTTTTCATTCCCACCAGCAATGGAGGAGGGTTCCTCTTTCTCGACATCCTCTCCAACATATATTGTCACTTGAGTTTTTTATCTTAGCCATTCTGATGCGTGTAAGGTGAAATCTCAGGGTCGTTTTGATTTGCATCTCCCTGATGACTAAGGATGCTGAGCATTTCTTTAAGTGTTTCTCTGCCATTCTATATTCCTCTATAGAGAATTCTCTGTTTAGCTCTGTACCTCATTTTATAAATTGGATTACATGATTTGTTGCTTTTTAACTTCTTGAGTTATTTATATATTCTGGATATTAGTCTTCTGTCAGACATAGGGTTGGTGAAGATCCTTTTGTAGCCTGTAGGCGGTCGTTTTGTTCTGATGACAGTGTCTCTTCACTTCTTTAACTGTCCTTTTTTATCTCTCCCTGCTTTGCCCATCTATACACAAGGAAATCCTGATTTGAGAAACAGTTGCTTATTTTTAAAATGAAAAATGATGGAAACAAGAGCAGGTTCATGCAACCTATCCCTCTCCCACCCACCCAGCCCACATGTGGCTCAGTGCTCTAGCCTCTTACCTGTATAAACTGAGGATATGACTTCCCCAAGGTATCGTTAAGGGGAAGGTTTTTTTTTTTTTATTGTAGATATGAGGGAGTGTACTGGATGAGTACAGAACACAGAGAGAAAGGTGAACATCAACAGACTGGACTAGGCTATGAGAGGAGTGGGGTGGCGAAAGAAAAAGACAGAGTACTGGCAGAGGAGACCAAGACAGGAGTAGGAAAGAGGGACAAGCAGAGGAAAGAAAGAGAGAGAGAATATGGGAAATAGTCTGGAATGAGAATCTGTGGGAAGGAAGTCCATGAGCTTGAGAAGTTTAGGAGAAGGGTGAGAAGAGCTGAGAGGAGCCACAGGTACTGTGATACAGAGGAAGCCTGGAGGCTAGCGTGTACTTTGTTATGCTAATAGGTGCCACAGGAAGCCCTTTGTCCCTCCTGACAGTGGTAAGACAATGGCTCCTTTGGTATAGAGGGGGAAGGGATTCCATAGTTTGGGGAAAAGGAGTTTCATTTGGACCTGTCATTACCCTTTTTCTCCAGAGCCTTTCATTTTCCTGAAGTTTGTAATATGTCTTTTGTTTACAGCAGACTAAAATTCTAGTGTGTATACGTATTTGTATTTCATATCCCTTCAGATATTCCCCACCCCTCGCTCTCTCCTAACTGCATGCCTTCTTCTTTTTTCTTTCCTCCTCATTCTCCTCCTATTTTTCCCTTCCTCCTCCCTTCCCTTACTAGGGATTCACATCCTTAAAGAAAACTGACTCTTTCCCTCAGAAGCCATCAACTGTCACTTGGGCCTCATTTAGTGGTGGGAACTCCTGTGTCCCTCCCCCATCCATGACGCAATGTTGACTGCCTTGTTCTTGTGTAAGCATTCCCAGCTGCTCTGAGTTTGTGAATGCAATGGTCCTATCAAGTCCAGAAGAAATTGTTTTGTTCCAAGACTCCATAATCTCTAGTTCTTAAAAATTTGTCTCCATCTCTTTTAGTCTTTGAATTAATTTTCTTATAGGACAGCTCAATTTAAAAGGTATACATACCAGAAGCTGGTTATGTGTGTCCTGAAGTCTTGCCTTGTGTATGCTAATCATATGATCTACCACCTGACTATGAGCCTAGACATTTTGTGGGGAGGGTAGTAATGGAAACATAAAGTTTCTCACTGACATGTATGGAGCTCTTCAGGATTTCTGAGAGAGGAACAGTTGCATCTACATGTGCTAAGCATGCACTGAGGAACACAGAGGTGATCTGTGTGGCCTGCCTTGTAAGCCAGCAGACATATTGAGAGAGAGAGGTTGTCCTACAAAGGAGAAAAGAGTTGAGAGAGTTTTGGTCCAGGTAGGCTTGGTGATGATGCTTGGATTGACATGGGAATAATGGCTAGACTCTGTTGTGCCCAGTTTGTAAGGCCCCAAAAGACCAGGAATAGATTCCGCTGTAAATATATGAGTGTTTTTTTTTTTTTTTTAATTGTATACTTGTTTGAACCCAGGACACAAACTTCCTGTGGAAACAAGAGAGGAATGTGGCCCCAAGGTCCAGGGAACAAGGTTTTTAAAAGGCAAAATTGCAAGCAGGGACTTACAAGCTTTGGTGTTACATGATTGGGTAAGGGAGGTTGACTTTTGAAATGATTGGTTTACTTTAGGTGCCAAGACCACAAACAGTTCTGGCCTGGCTCTCTGGGCCAGTTTCTTAGCAACTGTATCTCAAGTGGGCAGGGAAAGAATGCATTAAAGCTAGTTTCTTTTCCCAGGTGGCTGGAGCTTTAAACTTTAAAACGATACCCACTGATTCCTAATTCTTTGGTCTCTCAACCCTTGACTTTTTGGAAAGCCCCAGTAGATAAGTGAGTAAGTTTTATAGTTTGTTTCTTTGACATTTGATACTGAATAAATTTACATTAAAAAAACTGCTAGTTGTGATAGCTTACTTAAGAGGCAGAGGCAGGTGAATCTTTGAGCTCAACGCTAGCCTGATCTACAAAGTGAGTTTCAGGACAGCCAGGCCTACAAAGAAAAACCCTGTCTCAAAACCAAAAACAAACAAACTAACAAAAACCCAATATAAACAAAAAAAACCCCAAACAAAATCAAAATGATGATGATGATAATAGAAAAATTAAAAATAACAAAACAAGTATACTAATTCTTAAAGATCTGAACATCAAATATTAAAAAAGTAGGGATAAAATTATTTGAAAATGAGCTCAGAATCTAGTGTACAAATAGGCACATAGATATTTCCAGGTTTGGCCTGATTTGAATAATATTGTTCAGAACGTTCATGCCTTTATGTGATACCTATTTTCCTTTATATTCACTAGATTCCTAGTAGAAATGTTAAAAGATGTGGTAAACTTGTGCTTGACTTTCTAAGGAAGTGTGGCCAAACTCTCTTCCACAGTTGCTTTACCATTTTGCATTCAGTGGCAGCGCATGCAGGCTCAGGTTTTCCAGCATATTCGGCATTAGAAATTCATGTCCACTGGATTATAAACTAAATAGAAGAGATCCTTTTGTAATTCAGTTATATGCTGGAGTCTCAATTAGATTAGGCATTTGTCTGTGTGCTGACTTAACAGTGGTCTTAGCGATGGTTCTTAAACCATAGGTTCGGTTGTGGAAGAACATGGTAAATAATTAATGACGCTTTACTGTGGACTTCCACGAGCATACTTTCACAGTTGTTCTGGAAATGAGAGCAACTCTCCTATAATGAGGGCAACTGGTGGTTAGGGGTCTCCAAGGGCTGACCAGATATCAAGCTCCTTGAAATGCTCATTATTCGAATGGTACACAAAGGCACACAGGGAATTCATGTCTATACAGGCTTAACCTGTGCTTCTTTCCAGATTGTTCACAGAACCCTGGCCGCCATGTTGGGAGCTCTTGCAGCATTAGCAGCATTGGCTGTGGTTGGAGATGTAAGTTACTATGTTTGATTTACTGGCTTACCACTAGAGGCAGTGCCAGACCCAGGAAAACTCCAGGCTGAATTAGTTGTTTTATGTGATGTTTCCATGTGCTTTTCCCATGATTCATAGAGACATTATAAAAAGAACTTTTATTTGCCAGTGTCAGTTGTTGTCTTGGAGGCTTATTGCCTCTGTCTGCTAACCTAGGCCTTGTCCTGGAAGCTTCTAGCTTCCATACAATCTAACCTAGGCCTAAAACTGCTTACAAGCTCACCCTTTGTTGTTCTTTCTGAGCTCATAGCTGGATGGTTTAACTCAGTTGTTTTGGCTCAAATTCCTCTCCCAACTGAGTTATATGGCTTTTTTTTTTCTTTCCAGCCTCTGAATTGCTCTGCTTGGCCTCAAACTAACTCCAACAATCTGCTCCAATCTTCTGGCTCCTTCTCATTCTCTGGCTCATTCTGTCTTCACCTGTGTCTAGCTTGTTCTCTTGTTCAATCTCCCTGTAAAATTCTCCCTAAAAAATTGCTTCTTCTCTCTCTCTGCATAGTCCCTTAAGTAGCTTCCCTTTCCTCTCTTCTCATGAGAGCTGGGTGGATCCTATTGTTGGAGTTGGTAAACAGGCCTCTCTATGGCCAGCCACCAGGAGACCTGATGAGTGTGACGTCAGGCATCTCTTTGACCACCTGCAGAAATGCAGCGACAAGACCACTCACCACCAGCCTGACGCAAGGCTCAAGACACGTGTGTTCATCCTGTGCATGTGCTGGGTCATCTTTTAAGAAGAGTCACCCTTCTCTCTTACTTTCTCTCCTGCCTCATGCACAGACAGTCTCTGTAACCCCTCTCCTTTCTTTACTAAAACCTCCCATATGGGACCTGTTGTGTAGCATGATTTATGAACCTGCCACAAACTTGGCCACAGAATTCCTAACACCTATTCTGTCAAATCTTTCTCTTGTTTGTCACATTTATGCTACTCAATTATACATCACTTTTAAACATGGGTGCTTCCTCCAACAAACTAACTTTACTTTCATTGTTTGTGATTAAAGGCATGTACCACCACACCTGGACCTAAGCTTTTCTTTACCTGAGACTTGCTCTATATCAAGTTGGCCTTGAACTCAGATCTGCTTGCTTCTGTCTCCTGGGGTTAAAGGCATATTTGTATTTCAGCTTGATTGCACAGATCTAGAAGGTCTTTGGTTGTGATCTCTTGCCAGATCAGCCATGTTTTCAATTAAAATCCCTCTACAAGCATGAACTGACAAACTTGGTTTAAGAAAGTAGTTGCTGGATATGAACTCTTTTAAGTGGTGTTAGTCTCCATTTGGCCTGAAGGAAGGCTTCTCAGGCATGTGTCTGCCAAGCATGGGGCTGAGTGGTTTTAGAAGTGGATCTAGTGCTGTTACCCAAGAGATATGGAGGTGGATGAATGGGGCTGGGGCTCTGCCCTGTGGCATTGCAGGCCCTGGAGATACCTGTTGCCTCTCTTGTTAGGAAATGGAAAGAGAGTTGTTGCAGGGCTCATGTTGCCACTCTAGTCTGAGCCCTCCTAAAGCTGGCCACACACACAACTGGATTTCAAAGCAGCTTTAGAATTTGCTGGATTTCCCCACCAAAACCAGGTAGTCTACCACCCCTAATAGGACTCATTTAAATACCTATATAGAGATCTGGGTGCGGTGGCCCACGCCTGTAATCCCAGCACTCCAGGGAGGCAGGCACATCTCTGAGTTTGTGGCTAGCCTAGTCTACAAATCAAGTCCAAGACAGCCAAGGCCACACAGAGAAACCCTGTCTCAAAACCAAAAGCCAAAACCAAATAAAACAACCCCCCAACAAAAACCAAATGTACCTGTCTATATAGGGAAGTGTGTAGGGAGTTAGCTATTTGTGATGTCTTTACTTAACTTAAAATGTCATTGTAGAGTTAGTCTGAAAGTAGCTGTAAGAATGTGAAGTTTTTCTTGGCTCAGTTTGTCATAAACAGATGTTAAATTGAAATTAAAATATTTCTGAATTCTAAAATTTACAGATAGGAAAACTTTTTGTTTTCTTTGTAGTACTTAGAATGGAACCCAGGGCCTCATGCATGTTAGGCAAGTACTCCTGAGCATATAGCTCTACTGTTGTTTACCGTAATAGCTGAGTTGTACAAGGAGAAAGATGAGGAGGTCCACAGGTTTATTTTGGAATAAATCAGACAAGGGCTTTTGTCAGTGAGCAACCTTTTCTTACAGGCTAAGGTTTTTTATTCTGCTGGGATGGGCTGAGGCCCTGTTCTGCCAGGCAGTGCTAATGGTTAAGCTAGTACATGTAGGAGTGGTATTGGCTGTTTTGACTTCACCCCAAATTGATACCCCTAGCCTGGAAAAGAGGGGGCAGTTTAAGCTGGGTGCAGTCCATGGGTGTAGGGTGCTATCTGAGCTGGAGTGGGATTGCCTCCGAGTCTCCAAGTCATGCTCTTGTTCTCACAAATATGCTTCATATAATCTGTTTCATTTGGAAAATTGCTCTTATGGCACATAGCAGCCACATGCATTGAGAAGCCCCCTGCGTCACTCAGTGAGCTGCCTTTTCCCAGCAGGCGAGGCTCTGGCAGTCTCTCTTTGTGCTACAGGCACTTGGAGAGTAGAATAGACAGCTATCAATCATCCCACCTGGCTGAGGAAGACATGTATGGGCTAAACCTGCAATTCTCACAATAAATGTTGCTGGAGCTTCCAGGAGCAGGATTACCTATTTTTTTTTTTTTCATGGACGCTTCTGCTGTGACAGATGCACTGGGTCATGAGTGTTATTCAGCGGTTATATAATCCAATTTCAAAGGGAAGTGGATGGAGCGCTTCCAACTTTGCCCCAATGTGGAGTTTGCAGTAGGGGCAGCCCATTTTCAGAGCTTTCCCCAGTAGGCTGATGCACAGGATTAATTGGCAAATTTGTGCTTTGATTACAGAGACCCAGCCTGACTCAAGTGGTGGAGTGGATTGATTTTGAGACTCTGGCCCTGCTGTTTGGCATGGTAATTACAGTCCTCCCTGCAGGATATGGCTCCAAGTTTGGGTCCTTCACTATTCCTCGGTTGCTGAACCTATCATTATAGTCAAGATGGCATATCCCTTGGCAGTTAGGGCTTGATTGAGAAGTGGTAGTACAGGTGCAGCTCATATCCCCCCGGGGGGAGGAGGTGGCTGGGGCTCTGGTTTGTTAACTAGAGAATTCAATTCGAAGGCTTTTGAACAATGAAGTGGCATTATTGTTTCCAAAAGTTAGGAATTTTTTTGGGGGGTGGGGGTTAGTACCCTTAAAAACCAAAACCAAAACCAAAACCAAAGCAAAACCAAAACAAAACAAAAACAACATTACTTCAAATAAATGAACCATGGAACAATTTCAGTGATTGGGAAAGTGATTTTAATTCTATAAAGAGAAGTGTTCCTAAGTAATAGTTCTAGTGTTTGCCAGTTTACCATAATGCTAAGTTGTGAGAAACATTACTAGGTCAGCTTGTAAGAAGGGAAGAAAAACTCATAGAGATTACTGTAGGGCATGAGTTTTAGCTATGCTAGAAAAAATGAAATTTGGCAAGGCCTTGGGAATGTGGGAATGACCATTGTGTTCTTGGGCCAGTCTCTAGACAGGGTCTGTGAGGCTTCATCTACACTTCGGAGGAGGGACCTGGAGTCTCACAGCTCAGGAGTTCAAGATCACGCCCTTCCCAGAAACTCCTCCAGACCACGACTCGTTGCAAAAGCAAGAAGTTTATTAACCACTGCGCAATGGGTCACCCCTGCCGGTCAGCAAAGAGTGGCACCGGGAGACAAAGGCCTTTAGGTTTTTAAAAAAAAAAATTGCGGGAGATTTGAAGTTGCAGTTTGGGCAATTTAGGACTGGATGAGGAAGCTATAAAGTAAGATAATTGGTTAGTCTTAGGTGCTCAAGCTTGCCCAGTCCTGCCAAGTATGGATGCAGCTGCAATTTAAGGTGGGAGTGGTTAGCTCATCCTTGAAGATTAGGGGCTGCGGACTTTTGGCTGGAGATCAAAAGCTACTCAGAAGAAGTCTGGGTTCGTTGCTAAGAAACACTATCTTGAAGGCAAGGGTCTGGTCGTTCTTTTTGCTGAGTGAAGGTCATTGCTTGCTTGCTTTTTTTTTTCTATCTTTCCTCACAGATAGGGTCACATTTCTCCATTCTCTGGAAAGGTACTAAGAGGCTTTAGCCTAACCTGAACCTAAAACTCAAAACTATAAGCTTTAGAACATACAGGTTACAAAGTTAGCCTAACCCTTTTACTCCCTTTGTAGAACACCAGTCACCAGGCAGCCTCATCTTTCTGTTGGCATCTACTCTAGGCTTCAGAGAGACTCAGAGCTGCCATCCTCTCTGAATAAGAAGGCAGAACAGCTCTGAACTCAGGTTTCAGGGAGGAGCCAATAGCTGTGTTGGGTTCTGAGAAACACATAGGACTTGGTTATCCAGGCAGAAGGAGGGAGGCATACCAGATGTCTGTTACATACTATTTTTTAGAAAAGTTAAGCAGGGATGGAGAAATAGCTTAGTGGTTAAAAGCACTGTCTGCTCTTCCAGGGGTCCTGAGTTCAATTTCCAGCAACCACATGGTGGCTCACAAACATCTCTTCTGGGATCTGATGCCCTCTCTGGCATGCAGGCGTACATGCAGATAGAGCACTCATATACAATAAATACATCTTGAAAACAGTTAATAGTGTAGTAGATTTCTAGAACTGCCATAACAAAGCATGTCATATATGCTGGACTGATGAATAAATATTTGTTTCTCGAGGCTGCAGAGGCTGATGTCTAAGACCAAAGTATCAGCAGGGCTGCCTCTGTTGAAGCTCCTCATTGGCTGTCTTCACATTTTGTAAGGCCATCTGTCATATCCAATTAAGGTCCACCCTAATGACCTCATTGTTACTCTTAAAAATCCTGTCTCCGAGTACAGCCACATTTTGAGTTACAGGAAGTTAATAGTTCAACATACAAATTTTGAGGAGGAGGGACAAAATTCAGCCAATAAAAGTAACCTGGTGTTTCTTTTTCTCAATTACAATTTCTTTAGTAGGCATTTAGATATTCTCTGCTTTCGGTATTATAAGGGCAGTGCACAGAGTGAGTTTTATTCTACCTGACTTATTTCCCGAGACTGCTAGTCCCAGTCCCCCTTCTATCAGACGACGACAGAATGGCTCCCACAGCAAGAGAAGACCTCAAGGCTGCCACCCACGTGTGTCTACTTATGTTCTCATGAAGTGCTGTGGGCTACAAACAGCCCCACGAGGGACTGCTGAGTTAGGAAGATGCTCTAGACAATGGCAGTGCGGAGTCAAAACTGACTGGGGAGCATTTGCGTTTCATACAGTTTATTTGAAAAGCATATTGGACCCCCAACCATCTTCCAACTGCTTTCTGTAAATTTATCTCTCACTCTCACAGCACCCTCCACAAGGTAAGCTAGAGGTAAAGTGAGAAACTTGAAGTGCAGAATGGTAAATCGGGCGCACTTTGTTGTTCTTATTGAAGGCTTGAACCTGTGTTTTCTCATTCAGAATTCAACATTTACTAATGTGGGTGGAGGGTAGAAGGAGGACTGCTCTGGCCTTGAACTTCATGGAGAAGCCAGCCTCTGTGTTAGCCCTGGATAGAATATAGGATTCAAGCATCTGAATTAACAACAACAACAACAACAACAACGAAACCATATCAGATATAGCTGCAAGTTTAGAAAACTGAAGAAATTGAATGCTTTTCTACTTTTTGTAAAATAGGAAACCTAGCAAGTTCAGGCTTGCTGGAATTTCTGTTTAATTAAACACAGAATAAATGGGGGCCTATGTTAGCTCATGGGATGGCTGTTTTTGTCACTCATCATCATTAGAAATACAGGTAAGTATTCTGGGTGTATGCAGGACTGAAGACCAGTCATTTCAGTACCAATAGTCCAGTTTGTCCAAATTTGATGTCCAGGTCATCAAATTTGTAAGAAAAAAAAATCAGTTTAATTATTTTAGAAAACAAAGTTTGAGACAGCTTTAAAACTATTTAATTTCTGAGTGCTGTGATAGGGACAATTATGTACAAGGACCACCTGATGGCCATGGCCTTTCCTGCTTCTAGCTTCAAGTCTGATCCTGCCATCTTTAGTCTATAAAACAGAGTAAAGACAACATTTGATGTTTGTCATCAGGGTTAGCTAGGTTGATATCTTAGGACAATGCCCTGATATACGCACAAACCATCTGTAAGGGGTTCTGCTCAGGGCATTTGTGTGTTGACAGCTGAAGTGATGGACGTCCAGAAAGACAAAGCTGCTCTTGACAGTCAGCTGTCAGGAGCTAGAGCTCAAACTCATGATGAGTCACTCTGACATTGTTCCAATGTGGTATTTTGACAAAAAAAATCTTGTTGTCTATTTTTTTCCTTTATAGATGATCTTAGTAGCCATATTTTCAGAAACGGGATTTTTTGATTACTGTGCTGTAAAGGTAGGTGTAGTGTTGTACTTGCGGGTCTTACACTAAATAAATAAATGAGAAGTATAAACATGCTTATTTATATAATCAAAACAATGTAAGTACAAATGTGATTAACATTATTATTAATTGATTGAGTAAAATTATTTACCATCTTAATATTGTATATTTAGTAAGTTAAAATATTTAAAATTCCGTCTTCCCCTCAAAAAGGTGTTAGGAGGCCTAGGTATAATTGCCATGGGAAGCATGATGCAAGAACAACACTTCCAGCCTTTCCATAAGAAAACAAGGAGCAAGCTCAGGGCAAAGAGTTCTCTTTGAGGATTTGTGTAGTAACATCTGAGCTGTCTGGTTAGGGCTATACATCAAAACCCACTCTTCATTTAAGAGTCTGAATATGTCAAGCCAGCAATCTCTGATTGCATTGCCTTTTGGGGACATAATTTCAATGCTTATGTGATAGGCCTGTAGTCCTGACTTTTAAATTTGGGTAAATCATGTTTTTGTTGTTTTAATCTTATATGGACTGTATTTATTTACTTATGCTGGGATTGAACAAAAGGCCTTGCATATGCTCAGTACATGTTCCATCACTGGGATAATATACTAGGTCTTTAAATGTCTTATTTTTAAAAATTATGGTTATTTGATTGACAAATGATAATCATGTGTTTGGGGAATATACGTAATGTTTCAATGTATATTCACACAATGTGCCATGTTTAGTTGGCCATCAAGCCAACCAGCATTTCCTTAATATCCCTCACACACATCATTTCTTATGGTGACATATTTGAAAGTTACTTTTTTGTTTTTGTTTTTGAGACAGGGCTATGTAGAGACATAGCCCTGGCTATCCTGAAACTCATGATGTAGACCAGGCTGGCCTCAACTTAGAGATCTGCTTGCCTCAGCCCCATTACTGCTGGGATTAAAGGTGTGAGCCACTATACCCAGCTTGAAATTCACATTTTAAGTTATTTTGAAACATACACTACACTAAATATAGTCATCCTGCCTGTGCAGTAGTTATCCAACTCTTCACCTTTTAACTCTTTCTTATACCCTTTGACCAGAATCCCAATCTTGGAGCTACTATCCTTACTCTCTGCTTCTATGGGATCATTTTTCTTAGATTCCATGTAGAAATGAAATCAGATGGCATTTTAATGGATATTCCTTGCTTATTATACTTAAAATAATGCCCTCCAGCTATAATTATATCATGTTAAATCATTGTAGAAACTGTGAGGATTGCATGGGTGAATAGTGGTGCATGTTTATGAACATGCTGTCTTCATTCATCTGCTGACAGACACTTAGCCTGGCTCCTCATCTTGGAAGAGTCCTCTAATAAACATGGTGCAAGTGTCCATGCTTTTACCATATACATTTGCTTCTCATGGTTCTTTTTTTAGTTCTTTGAGAAACATCTGTACTATTTTTCACAATTATTTTATATTAGTCGAGGAAGATTTCTTTTCTCTTAAATTTTTCCCATGCTTGTTCTCCTTCACCCCTACCTTCTTTCTGTTTTGAGACAGGGTTTCATTTAACTCACTATGGCCTCAAACTCACTATGTTGCTGAGAATGGTCTACTTCTATCTCCCTACCGCTGGCATGACAGACCGGAGCCACCACGCTGGTGCTAGGGAATAAATCTTGTATATCTCGCAGGCTAACCAAACAGTCTAGCACTGATACACATCACCAGCCCTGTTATCTTTTTAAATGAAAATCATTCTGACACGTGTGAAATGGTGACTCATTGCTATTGGACTTTGTATTTTAACTGGAATCCTGGGTACTGTCAGAAGTTGTGGAGATTTAAATTGACTCTTGCATGCATAGTGGATGAGGGGAGATCTCGCCATGTCCTAGTCGATGAGGAAACTTTGGCAAACTCTACTAATGCAAAGGCTGGTGCTAATTTTTACTTCAGTTTTGGAATAAAAAACTTATTTTAAAAGATACTTTCTTCAACAAAACTCTTTGCAAATTCTGAATGAGAATTTATTTTGGTCCCCATATCTTGGAGTCATTAGTGAAAACATAACATCTATTGTACGAATGTACTGATTCTGGCTTGTTCCTTCCTGTGTATGTGTCCTAGGCATACCAGCTTTCTCGAGGAAGAGTGTGGCCCATGATCATCATGCTTTGTCTCATTGCTTCCATCCTTTCGGCCTTCTTAGACAATGTCACCACGATGCTCCTTTTCACCCCTGTCACCATAAGGTGTGTAGAACACTCCTGACATGGAAATTAAGACCAGATTTGGGGTAGATGTGTGTTCTGGTTGTACCACCTGGCTCAAGGTTCCTTCCTCACATCTACAAAAAGGCAAGGGATAATATCTATCCTTCTACTGGGGTCCAGCTTACTCAATTCCAGCCTAGCCTGTTGTGTGACTGCAGACTCTAGAAGGGTACAGGTGTCAGCATAGCTCAGAAATAACACAAGAAGTCAGAGGACATGGGCCTTGCTTTCCAGGAGGTAGACTGGAAACAATATAGGCAAGGCATCCATGAAGAGCATCAGGTCTCAGGAGGATTTTGCTCAGGAATCCCCACATTTTCATCTTCTACCTATTCACAGTCTGCAGCAGATCAGAGTGTAGGACATCTGAAGACTACAAGAAAAACCTCATGCAGCTAGGGTATGAAGGTAGAGTCCTATGGCTAAGGAAGAAGTAATTAAGATAGTAATTTAAAGAAAGGACACATACAGAGAGAGTTTAGGGCCTCTTCAGAAAAAGGGAAGGCAGATAAGGGACTAAGTCAGCAGGCTTAGTGTTATGGCTGGTGAGTTTTGATTGTCCACTGCATTCCTGACTGAGGCATCAGATGACCAGTACACATTCACCTTCTTCAGGTCTTTCTCTCTACTAGGGCCCTATGCTCAGAGTTCAATACTCTCTCCAGGCTGTGGGAGCAGAAGGTACCTCAGCACCTGGGTAGCTCAGACTGTGGTATGTCTACTCAGAAAAATCCTTGTAATTTGTGGTACCTGAGGATGTCTCTGCTGATGTTTGTTTCTGTATCACTCTTCTCACAGATTGCGTGTGTGCTCATGTGTGCGCACACGCATATACACACAAACACATGCATGTGCCTTCCTTATACAAACAAGTGCTTTACACATTTTGGTTGTACATAGGCCTTTTCACGTTTTTACTTTCATGATAGGTTATGTGAGGTTCTCAATCTTGATCCACGACAAGTCCTGATTGCAGAAGTGATCTTCACAAACATTGGAGGAGCTGCCACTGCCATTGGGGATCCCCCAAATGTTATCATTGTTTCCAACCAGGAGTTAAGAAAAATGGTAAGTAACAGCACACTAGGGTTGCTTTCAGGAAATGCACGACTTAACTGAGTGGGCCACTACGCAGTGTCCTTTATTAACTACTGTGAACTAAGGTTCTTGTCACCTATTCATTGTGCACACTATTGGTCATAAGCAAAAGATTAGGAGAGGAAAAGTAGGAGAGGCATCCTGCAAGATGAAAGGGCTGCATTTAGAAGCTGTGTTGTGATTAATGTGATGGGAGGTAGTTTTGCTACTGAGAACATCAAGGAGAAATATCTAGGAAATTACAAAGGGCTGTAACATGACCAATAGGCTCAGTGAAAGCATACCATCCCACGGCACAGTGCATCTGCCACTGTTGTCTCTGAAAATTACCAGTTTGGGTTTTTCTGATCTTCCTTTCAGTTGCTTGATAAATTCACCTGTAAAACTGTCCTAGCAACTTCTGTTTGGTGCTGTTGCTTTGCTGTGGTTGTCTGTTAGGGCCTTCTTAACTTTACTTTCTTTATTTTCACACTCATTACTCCTTTCTTTAATTGTCCCAGCATTTCTGATGGGACAAAACTTTGGCACTTAACATCCTGAACAGATCTGGAATTACTCAGGATACAGAATTCCTGTCTCCTCAGGCTATATTCCCTAAAACTAATAATTGTGTTTTATGACCCGGTTGGTTTAAAGGTAAGCACATTGATGTTATATTTAAATCATTTTCTTATGTTATTAAAATTGTTAATGTTTACTTACTTTTGTTTTACATGTATGGGTGTTTTTGTCTGCATGTATGTCTGTGCACCACATGCATGCCTGGTGCCTACAGAGGTCAGAGGAGGATTTCTAATGCTCTGGACAGGAGAGGGTGTTCTATCACCTGGAATTGGGCAGTTGTGGGCCACCACGTGGGAAGAACAATCTGGGTCTTCTGTAAGGGCAGCCGCTGCTCTTAAGCACTGATCCGTCTCTCTAGCATCCTCAGGCTCATTTTAAAAATTCTGACTTTAAAGGAAATTAAAACATTTTCGTGAACATCTAAGATATAACTATGTTTCAACCAGACATCTGGGGTATGGATTCTATAGATAAATATAAAGTTCATGGTAGTGTTCTGACTGAAGAACTGCTAGAGTGTGGTGAGTTCTGAGTGAGGTTTGGTGACCCGTGGGAGGTTGACACGATTAGCCTGAGCTATGTTGTAAGAGGTATTGGAAGGTGCCTTTTCCAAAGTGGCTTACTGACAGCCTATGGGGTTTCCTACCTGTGCAGGCATGTCTTAGGGCCCAGCAGGTCTGCTGTGTCCTCTGTGACCAGACCCTTCCTGCCAAGATCCCTCGATATCTGCTCTCCCAGTGCCTCACCGTGCTGCGGCACCTTTACCCCCCTTTACGGCAGCACTTGTTCATGTGCACTACTTGAATTCTCGTAGATGATCATCTTCAAGGCCTCATCCCTCCTACTGGGGCTCAAGAGATATGATGCATACTCGCCCAAAGATATATATAAAATAACAAGATAAAGAGCAGCATTAACCAAAGTTGTTGTTGACTTATTCTCTAACTAAGTAGCTTAGGGGTGATTTTTAATCAATACGAAGCACATTCAACCAACGGCCACGACACATACCTGATAGGCAGGCAGAGAAATCAGGAAAGAAGGGAAAGGCTGCCTCTCTAGGGCTCTGTGAGTGTTCCAGTGCTCTGTGCGATCAAAGTAGTGGGCAGCAGTGGGAAGACTGCACCTTCCAGCGGGATGTTCCTTCTAATCCACAGCAGGCACTTTAGTCACTAAAGATTAAAAATTAACCATTAAATAACATTATTCAGTGTTTTGACTTCTCTTCATCCTAGGGCAGAACATTAGCCCTGTGAAGGCAGACAAAGTTCAGTTTGGAACTAGTTGTATTAGCCTATTTTTGTTTCCTTCAGAAATGGCTTGTAATTCATGTAAGTACTGGTTTTTCAAAAAACAAACAAACAAACAAACAAACAAACAAACAAAAACCAAAAAACAAAAACACGAGACATATTAAAAAAAAAGGCTTGAACTATCTGGATAGTGGTGGCACATGTTTTTTTAATCCCAGCACTTGGGAGGCAGAGGCAGGCAGATCCCTGTGAGTTTGAGGCCAGCCCAGTCTACAGAGGACATTCTGGGACAGCAGTGCTATACATAGAAAATCTTGTCTCAAAAAAGAGAAACCAAAAATGAAAACCAAAACCAAAACAACAACAAAGTACTTTAAACATTTCAAACTTCAAAGCCTCAGTGTTTGGCTGCAGGACCCTTATCTGACGATCACCAGAGACCCCTGTGTTTCCAACTCACACCCTGCCTCAGCTCTCCCTAAGGCCCATATATCATGTACTGCTCTTTTGCTCTTCTAGGGCCTGGACTTCGCTGGTTTCACAGCACACATGTTTCTTGGAATTTGCCTTGTTCTCCTGGTTTCCTTTCCACTTCTCAGACTCCTGTACTGGAACAAAAAGCTTTATAATAAGGAGCCCAGTGAGATTGTCGGTGGGTATGAGCATCTTCCCATGCTGCAGATCTTTACTGTAGTATTCTCCCCCAACCCCAGGACAAGCCCTCATAAGCAGGAGGGGGCATTCTCCCATCGGAGCACCAGGGAGGATGTATTCATTTTCTCTGGGATGCTGTATGCTTAAGAGCAACGACTGTCCACAGCTACCTCCAGCTGGCAGTCTGGCTGCTTCAGTCTGTGTCTGCTGGGAATCTATAAAGGGTAGCTTGCTTTTAATCTGCCACCTTGGCTTTTTCCTTATATATATATTTTTTTTTCAAACCATAAAATAGATGTTAAATGTAAGCCTCATAAAATAGCTTCCTATTAGGAAGCAATGGATGACAAACTATTCCTCTCCTTTTCACTATCAGAGGGTGTCTGAATTTAGTGATGGGAGAAAAGTGTTGTTTGCTCCTTTCTGGACAGCATTTTGCCAGCTTATTACTTATTATACTGTATGACACACTGAGCTCATAGGATATAGGGGAGGGAGCGCTTTTTGCTGCCCATTTTTTACCAGATGTTGTCCTAGAGGATGCCAAGCATGGCTGCCTGAGAATCACATCCATGCTGTGTTATTCTAGAGCTCTGTTTCTGAAACCATTTAAAGACTGGACAATTGGCTGAGTTCATATGTGTTGTTATAACGGTACCCTAGCCAGGCAAGCTAAAAGTGAGAAGCTTATTTATAATAGCTTACTCTCCAGGAGACAGGAAGTCCAGGAGCCTGGCCCCAGCAACTGGCGAGGCCTCTTTGCTGCATCATAACATGGCACGTAGTTTGGAGAGGATAAGCCAGATGCACTTGATGTTAGCCAAAAAGTTGAGAAGCCATGACAAACCAAACTCAAAGCATAGCAGTGATGTTTAGATTTTGGCTGAATGAAGAGCCAGTGAGAATGGGCAAGGGTTGTTGGATCCTAGAGTCAAGACCTTGCTTGAACAAAAGCACAACAATAACAAATTAATAAATGAATTAAAAAGATATTGCTTGAGAAAAAACTTTATTCTTCAGGAAGAGTTGAAGTTGCCTTTCTTGCTTCCATGATGACTTTCAGAGTTCATATCTATCATCAGGTTCCATCAACATAGCTCCTGCTGTGAAGAGCCTGTGCTGCATGAAACATGGATGTACATTGTTAGTGGGGGCTAAACAGAGGGGTGTGCTGACGTCTGAGGGTAGGAGAGATTCAGTACCTTACACTTATTTCTCTGCAGAGCTGAAGCACGAGATTCAGGTCTGGCGCTTGACTGCACAGCGCATCAGTCCAGCCAGCCGTGAGGAGACAGCTGTGCGTGGCCTGCTGCTGGAGAAAGTGCTGGCCTTGGAGCATCTGCTGGCCCAAAGGTTACATACTTTCCACAGGTACCACAGGATTCTGCTTAGATTTATACCAGGGGCTTATTACAGGTTGGGCTTAGTGGTGGCATTGCATGAGGAACATATTACATTGCATTCAAATGTCATAGGATACCCAAGTGAGTATAAAAGATTTTTGATCACAATATTTGCTACACGTCTTCATTAACTAATTTTATATTGCTATAATTAAACACTATAGCAACTTACAGAGGGAAGTTTGTATTTGGGCTTATGGTTTGTCCTAGTTACTTGCTATCGCTGTAATAAACACCACACATGAAACAAATCAAGTTGAGAAGGATAGGGCTATTTCATCTTGTAGCTTACATCATGGAGAGAAGTCAGGGTAGGAACTCAAGACAGGAACACAAGGCAGAAAATGAAATCGAGTCCATGGTAAAATTCAGATTACTGGCTTATTTCTACTTCATTTTTGTTTTTGAATATAACCTAGAACCATCTGTCCAGTATGATTCTACTCACAATGCAGTAAGAATTTTCATATCAATCATTAATAAAGAAAATTCCCTGCAGTCTTGTCTACAAGCAATTTGAAGGAGACATGTTTTCAGTTAAGGCTTTCTCTTCTCAAATGAGTATAGTGTCAGGATGTCAGTCTAGCCAGGAAGCCATCAAAAAAACTCTTAAGAATTGTGATAGGGAGCCAGGCACGATGGCACATGCCTGTAATCCCAGCACTCTGGGAGCCAGAGGCAGGTGGATCTTTGTGAGTTGAAGGCCAGCCTAGTCTACACAATAAATCCAGGACAGCCAAGGCTGCAGAGAGAAACCCTGTCTCAAAAAAAAAAAAAAAATGATTGTGATAGAGATGCTTGTAGGCTTAGATTTTTCAAAAACATACTTTATTAAAGGTTCTTAAATACCTCTACTTCCCTTTCAACCCTTGACCCTTGGTTGGAGATTAGTAGGGAAAAGGTCTGTACACCTCTTTTATCAACTTCCTGCTGATTAGGATCTTTGGGTTCTTTGGAGATATACCAGCCTCAGTAGTGGGGAGTCCACTCAGCAGTCCAGTCAAACAGCAAAGGAGTCTACCACAGCAGCAGCAGGAAGTGACAGAGACAAAGGTGGTACCACTCAGCAAAAGCAACAAGACTGCCTAAATGGTACAAGTTTGCCAAAGCAGCACAAAAAGTTCTCTGGAGTGTTTTTCTCTGAAACAAACAAACAAACAAACAAACAACCCAGCAAAGCAATGTGAACCATTCCAAATTGTAGAGATGGGAAAAGCGTTGTCTCACTGTCCATGGTCTTTTATTTATCAGAGTCCATACAAGGATATTTTCCAGCTCGCAAAACCCACACCCCTTGCCCTAGGTAATTTCCAGCTGACAAATGTCATGCGCCTTTTCATGGGGTCTGCTTTCGGCAGGAGTAAGGAGTCATGGATGACATTCCCATATTCCACACTTGAGACAAACAGAACACATATTCATATGACACAATTGAGTTTCCAAAGAAACTAGAAATTTCCACTTCAGATGCTGAAGGTAGTTCTTCACAGTTAGTGGATTCTGGCCAGGGTGATGGTGAAGAAGGACTCAGTTTTCTTTAATGGGAGTTTGACCATGTTCCAGTGAATATATGGGCAACACAAATTTGGCATTTTTTTCTTTTTCTTCTTCTTCTTTTATTTTGTGGGAGGTCACAAAGGTGGGGGAAGAACCTGGGATGACTAGGTGCATTATGATTGAGGTGCATTATGTGAAATTTTCAAATAATCAATAAAGTACTACATTAAAAAATGAGCCAGCACAATTGATCCCTCTTGACAATTTGACATATAAGCACATCACTGTTAGGCCATAACTTTGCTTTGCTTGTTTATGCCCAATATCTCATGTTACTATTACAACATAAAACGTAGTACAGTTTTAAGACAATCTTAATTTAACATTACTTTAATTTAAATTTAATACAATTTAATTACAATCTTCTAATAATTTTTAAAATTTGAGGTTATAGTATAAATATATAATTTTCTCTTTCCCTTTCTTCCCTCCAAAACCTCCCTTGTAATCTTCCCCACTCTATAAAATTCTTGGCTTTTTTTTCCTTAATTGTTGTTACATGCTTATACGTATATACATACATATTCCCAAATATAATGTGTATAATATTAATTGTATGCATGTTTTCAGGGATGACCATTTGGTATTGGGCAATCAATTGGTTTGTGATTCTCTAGGAAAGACTTTTTTTTTTCACTCTCAGCATTTCTTTGCTGCCTGTAGTTATGTATGCAGGTTTGAGGCCTTATGTAGGTTGTGGTCTTTCCCTTGTCCATTTTGGCGTGCCTATTATGTCATCTTTGTTCAGCTCACATTTAGGCAGTCAGGTGGGTGAGACATATTTATGGGTGCTTCTTCTGACATTACCAGACTACACACTCTCATAGTAAATTTCCTGGTCCTCTTGTTCTTACAAAATTCTATCCGTTCTTCTACAATGTTTGCTGACTCTTGGGTACAAGAGTTGTTTTTCATAGGTATCCACTAGACTGGGCTTTGTAACTCCCTGCATTTTGATTAATTATGGTTCTCTGTAATGGTCACTGTCTGTTGCAAAGAGAAAACTCTTTGATGATGGATGAAGGCCATACTTATCTGTAGTATATGAAATGAGCAGACAGCCTTGTCTTGTTTCTGATTTTAGTGGAATTGCTTTGAGTTTCACTCCATTTAATTTGAGTTGGCTATAGTTGTGCTGTAAATCCTGCATCTCTGGGCTGAAGCCTGCTTGATCACAGTGTATAATCTTTCTCATGTGTTCTTGGATTTGTTTTGCAACTATTTTACTGAATATATTTGTATCTTTGTTCATGAGGATAATTGGATTCTAATTCTCTTTCTTTGTTGGGTCTTTGTGTGGTTTGGATATCAGGGTAAATGTGGCCTCATAAAATGGATTTGGCAATGTTTCTTTTGTTTCTGTTTTGTGGAGTAATTTGAGGAGTATTGGGCTTAACTCTTTGAAAGTCTAGTAGAATTTTAGACTAAAACCATCTGGCCTTGGGCTTTTTTTGCTTTAATGAGTGCTTTTATTTCACTAGGAGTTATAGAACTATATAAATTGTGTATCTAATCTTGATTTAACTCTGGTAAGTGGTATCCCTGAAGAAAATTATCCATTTCTTTTAGATTTTCCAACTTAGCAGAGTACAGGTCCTTATGTTTCTCTGGATTTCTTCAATGTCTATTTTTATGTTCTTTTAATTTAGATTTTGTTAATTTGTGTATTCTCTCTCTGCCTCTTAGTTTAGATAATGGTTTCTCTGTCTTACTGATTTTCTCAAAGAAATATTTCTTTGTTTCATTGATTCTTTGTATTGTTTTCTTTTTATTTTTTATTTTATTTTATTGACTTCAGCTCTGAATTTACTTATTTCATGTAGTCACTCCTCTTGGATGTGATTACTTCTTTTTGTTCTAGAGCTTTCAGGTGGGCTGTTAGGTTGCTAGTATGAGATCTCTCCAGTTTTAGGCATTTATTACTATGAATGTGCCTCTCAGAACTGCTTTCATCGTGTCCCATAAGTTTCTGTGTGCTGTGTATTCATTTTCAGTAAATTCTAGAAAGTCTTTAAATTCTTTCTTTATTTCTATCTTGACCTATTTTTTTCATTCAGTAGAGAGTTGTTCAATTTTCATGAGTTTGTAGGCTTTCTGCTATTTCTGTTGTTTATATTCAGCTTTAGTCCATGGTGGCCTGATGAAAATGCAGGGAATTATTTCAAAAAATTTTTTTAATCTTGATTTGTGTCTGAGCTGGTCAATTTCAGAGAAAGTTTTATGAGGTGCAGAAGAAGGTGTATTCTTTTGTGTTTACATGAAATGTTCTGTAAATATCTGTTAGGTCCCACACTTACGATTAAAACAAAATCACATTCTTATAATATTTGTGTTTTTAATGAAACAAAACTTCCAGAATTCTCACTACAAACAACAACAACAATATAACAGGAGTCAACAATAATTGGTTATTAATATCTCTCAATATCAGTGGTCTCAATTTCCCAATAAAAAACACAGACTAACAGAATAAATGCAAAAACAGGATTCATCCTTCTTTTGCATCCAAGAAACACACCTTGACATCAAGAATAGACATTACTTGAGGGTAAAAAGTTGGAAAACAATCTACTGTGGAAATGGACTTAAGATGCATTCTTTTAGTATTTTGATTCTTATGTGTTGTGTTTCTTTTCTGTTCCAACCTATTTGGTTGTCTGTATGCTTCTGGTGCCTTCCTAGGCATCTTCTTCTTTAGGTTAGGAACATTTTCTTCTATGATTTTGTTGAAAACATTTTCTGTACCTTGAGCTGGGAATCTTCTCTTTCTATTCTTATTATTCTTAGGTCTTTTAATAGTGTCCCAGGTTTCTTGGATTTTTTTTTTTTTGTCAGAAATTTTTTAGAGTTAACGTTTTCTTTGACTGATGTATTCATTTCTTCTATTGTGTCTTCAATGACAGAGATTCTCTCTTCCATCTATTGCATTCTGTTGGTGAAGTTTGCCTCTTCTGTTCAAATGCCTAAACTTTTCATTTCCAGAATTCTATCAGTTTTTTTTCATTAATTCTATCTTTATTTTCCAGATATAAACAATTTTATTCATTTCCTTCCACTGTGTGTATTTTTCTGGATTTCTTTAAGGCATTTATTGATTTTTTCTTTAAGGACCTTTACCATCTCCATCTTCATACAGGTAGTTTTTAGATTTTTTTTTCTTGTGCTTCAGCTATGCTAGAATATTCAAGATCTGCTATGGTGGGATAGCTGGACTCTAGTGGAGATATATTGTCCTGGCTATTGTTGATTGAGTTTTTATGCTAGCATCTAAACATCTGGAATTAGGATGGTTGTAGGTCTAGCTGCTGATTTCTGGATTTGTCTTTGTTGGATGTGTGTTTTGTTCTGTGGTTTCCTTTCTGAATTTTTGGAGAGTGTGATGACTATGTGTTGCCTTGTAAAAATTTTTCTTTGGATCTGATAGTTGTGACTACTGGAGTTTTAGGTAAAATATGTTTCTGGATATTGGGAACTGACACTTAGGAATGGGATAGACTAGGGGTCTGAAGGGATTCACAGGAGAGGGAAGAGCAGAGTGTTTAATCATGATATGCGAGTTTTAGTTTCTTGGAAGGGGAGAAGGCAGTGAGAAGATGTCACCTCAAAGTGTGCTAAGGCACTGGAGATGATACTGAGGGATTGGATCTAAAGGAACAGAAGAAGAGGGAATATCTACAGACAGAGTACCTGCCTCCCTGGAAGGAGTGGTCTCTGTGGTAGCTAATACAGGTGACATTTGACTTCCAAAAAAGACCAGTGTGAGCTCGCTTCACAAGGACAAGAGATAGCAATGGCCCAGCTGGAAATATGGCTCAAACAACTGACCATCTTGCTGAAGTGGGAGCCAACATTACAATCTCTCTATAATTTATTTGACTTATTGTTATTGTTTAAAATATGGTCTCATATAGCCCAGGCTGTCTTCAGAATGACTATGTAGCAGAGGATGACTTTGAACTCATGATCTTCTTCCTTTACTTCCCAAATGCTGGAAACATAGGCATATATCACTATTCCTGGATTCATCAAGATTCTATCTATCTATCTATCTATCTATCTATCTATCTATCTATCTATCTATCTATCTATTGAAATAAGATTTCTACCTTAAGCTGTTCTTGAACTTTCTCTATAGCTAAGAATGGCCTTGAACTTCTGATCATCCTGAACTCCTGAGTGCTGGGATTATAAGCATTTACTACTCTTCCTGGTTTATTAAGTGTTTGAGATTGAACCCAGTGCTTCCTGCTTGCTAAGCAAGTATCCTACCAACTGAGTCACATTCCGATGCTGTTGTATTTTTAAAGACAAGGTCTGATATGGCCTTGGCTGGCCTGGAACTCACTGTATAGCCTGGCTTTGAACAGGTGAAAGCCTTTTCTCAGCTTCCCAAATGTAGGAGTGACAGCTGCTACATTTGAATGAGAATGTCCCCCATAGGCCTATGTGTTTGAATGCTTGGTCTCCAGTAGGTGGGTCTCTTTGGGGTGGTGAAAGGTGGATTTTTAGAGGTTTGGGAGGTAGACCCTTTCTTTGCTCAAGGAAATGTGTCACTGGGGTAGGCCTTTAAGCACCTGTCTCTTGCTTGTAGTTCAAGATGTAAACTCTTAGCATCTTGTTCCTGCTACAAGATGGCTGCATCTACCTAGAAACATAAGCCAAAAAAATTACCTTCTTCCATATGTTACCTTGGTATTTTATCACAGCAGCAGAAAAACCTGAGACCACAGCCTACTCACTGGGTTTTACAAGGAGCTTCCATGACAGCCCTGGGGTCACAGGCAGCGTGTACCCTACTTTGCCTCATGAGCCTGCAGGGTGGCCATTATTTAGGTTATTTTATTTGTAGGTTTGGACCTTCAAAAATTGTGGTATCTGGGGCTGTCAAAATGACTTAGCAGGTAAAGATGCTCGACATCAGGGCTGAGGATCCAAGCTCGGCCCCAGGACCCTGCATGGTGGAAAGAAAACGGATTCCTGCAAGTTGACTTTACCTTAAACACATGTTGTGTATGCAGCGTACTCCCATGTAGATTTAGACATTTTTAAAACTGAGAGCAATATGATTGTGCTGAACATGTATAACTACTTTTCTCATTATGTAGGCAATGCTGAAATGGCAGATATTTACCTAGCATTCAGTTGAAGTTGGTGCTATAACTAATATAAAGATTATTGAAGTTATGTGGGAGGATGTGAGTGCAATACAGCAGATACAACACCATTTTATAGGAAACCCTTGAGCTCCTGTGGGTTTCAGTGTTCCTGAAGGGGTGGGCAAAGGAGGTCGCCAGTCATTCTCACACACCGGTGTGTAGTCTTTGTGACACTTTTTTTTTTTTAACAATTCTTCTCACAACCTCTCCTAACTTTTGGATCATTATTTTTGTTATTTTTCTTTGGAAATACAGGGTGAATAGCTTTTCAAATTTCCCTGGTCACCTTCACGGGCATCCAATTCCTTACAAGGCTGTGCCAGGGTCCACAGACACCTCGGCTTCCACAGCTGTCAGTGTCACCTTCTTTCTGCAACAGAGAAGTAATGAGAGTCTCCTTTCTCTTACAGGCAAATTTCCCAGGAAGATAAAAATTGGGAGACCAATATCCAAGAGCTACAAAGAAAGGTATCTTGTTTTCTTTTCTCAAGGGCTTCTGAATCACAGCTTGTAGAAAAGGTGGTTGTTTTTCCTTTTTAGGTTTTAGTATCATTTTTAGTTGACCCAAGCTAATTGAGGAACATTGTGAGTCATAGTTCGGCATCCGGATACAGGTGTGCAGTGGGCTCTGCTTACGCCAACCCATCTGCGTCGTTAGTCATTTCTGTATGTTGGTCCCTGCAAAATTCCCTTTTCTTTCTATTATTTCAGATTCAGTAAGTGATTGAAAACATTGTTTGTTTCATTCCTGTATCTTTACATACATGGGCTATAATTTCTTTCTCTCTTAATGAGGAAAACCATTCTCTAAAACAGCAGAATTATTTTGTCAAGAAATAAAAGCCTTATCATTTTTATATGCCTGGAAGATGCATTCCAAGGGTGCGTATCCTTGGGAAGGTGTGGTGGCCACCCTTTGAGCCAACCTCTACTCATCAGCTCTCCTGACCCAGAGAGTTTATAAGGCATGAGTTTTTGAAGTGTAATGCAGGAAAGGGAGGTGTAGGGACAGATGTGTCCTGCCATTATGAGTTTGATGTCTGGGCAGAGCTTTGCTTCTACTTCCTGCTCAGTTTCTTGCTGTAGTGAACTGTCCATGGAACACAGCAGCTTTGATGGACAGAATCTTCATTGCCTTGTGACTCTGAGAGTAAGAGGATTCTGCAGGAACACAGCACTCCCTGTGCCCCCCCAATAACTGTGAAGATATACTTGTGGAGTGCCCCATGATAAGAAGCAACTGTGCATTCCAAGATCTCTGGATTCCTTTTGCTGGAATCATGGTGTCTTAGTTAGGGTTTCTATTGTTATGAAGAGTTACCATGACAACCCTTATAAAGGAAAACATTTAATTGGAGCTGGCTTACAGTTTCAGAGGTTTAGTCCATTATCATCACGACAGGAAGCATGACAGAGTGCATGTGTTGGAGAGAGCTAGAGTTCTACATCTTGATCCACAGGAAGCAGAAGTGAATACCACACTAGGCCTAGCTTGAGTATATGAGACCTCAAAGCCCAACCCACAGTGACATACTTCCTCCAATAAGGTCATACTTCCTAATAGTGCCACTCCTTAAGGGCCAAGCATTCAAACACATGAGTCTCTGGGGAACATTCCTGTTCAAACCACCACACGTGGTATTTAAAGACTGCTTGAGCATGTTAAAGACTTGCAGAGCAGGAATTACCATTCTTGATAACCACTTCTTTTAATGGCTTTCAGATGTAGCATCGCCATGGGTGATGCTTACAGGCAAGACAGTGGAATTAAATGCAGGGTATACAGGCACCTGAGAAAATGCATGTGCCTTGAAGACTGTATCTGAATTTTATTTATTGTTTCCACCAAGCTTTTGCTAGTATCTCAATGTGTTACAGTGGATAGTCTCCTGGAATAGTAAATATTAATTTATTGAGTTTTCACAAAGATTTTGAGTGCTATTTACCTTGTTATCATTTTTTCAAGTTTAAAATATTCTATTTTTAAAGGAAATATTTATAGTGATTCAAGTCGTGTAGGACTGTAAAAACATTTCAAGAATCAGAAAACTGTACTGAGAAAATGAGTTGTGGTTTTCTCTCTCAAAGCACAGGATATCAAACAGAAGTCTGCTTGTCAAGTGCCTGATGGTGTTAGGATTTGTCATCTCCATGTTCTTTCTCAACTCCTTTGTCCCTGGTGTTCATCTTGATCTTGGTGAGTCCAATATTTTTGTTGCTAGGTTTTCTGTTTGATATTACAGTGTGGATGGTAAGGCTTCCAAGCCTATTCTCAGATGATAACCATACCCCAGGCTATTCTGCTGATATGGATGTGGGCAGCTTTCAGTGGTAGAAAGGAAGGAAAGAAGGAAGGTAAGAAGGAAGGAAGAAAGGAAGGAAGGAAGGGAGGGAGGAAGGAAGGAAGGGAGGAAGGAAGGAAGGGAGGGAGGGAGGAAGGAAGGAAGGGAGGAAGGAAGGAAGGAAGGAAGGGAGGAAGGGAGGCTTTCTGTGTGACTTCCGTCTTCGTTGGGAGGAAGGGAGGCTATAACTGGGCTGTCTGTTTACAGCCTCTTCAGGGGTCAGTGTTAGAAGGGATGTGGAACTGGTACTGTCACATCTATCATGCTTGATAACTATGTTTTGAAATGATTTCTAGAAGAGCCCAAAAGTCACGTCAGCAAAATTAGTTTTCTGTACCCTGTAACATCTCAACCAAATGAGTGACTGTGAAGGGGCTGGAAAATTGGGAGGGCTCTACTGAGCTCAGCGTCCTTTGTCATTACAAATAGTTTTCCCATGCAGTAAGCTCCTTATCCTACTTTATTCCTTTGGTCCTCCTTCATCATCAGCACATTCTCTCTAGAGGTTAGCCACCGCCCTCCTTCAGTGTCAAGGTCTCACCTGTGTCCAGGGAAGAATTGGATCTTTCAGGTTGAAAGTGCCCATGCTTTATACAAATATCCCACCCTTGATGTAGACTTTGTTATTTCACAGTGATCTTTGTGTCAGTACTTGAGATAAAATAAAAAACAACAACAACAATAACAAAAAACAACCTGTTTGTAGAATCCACCTCATGAAAGTACAGACCAATGAGAAATAGAAGTTTGATGTGGTGTCCAGTTTGCCAAGTAATGTGAGCTTGGCTCTGAGCTGACAGGTGCTCTTTTTCTATACCAGGAACTGATCCTCCTGAAACTTCCTGGATAGCAAAAGGCAGTGTTAACAATGACATGGATCTCAATTGCTTAGAAACTGTTAAAGTGAGATTATTTCAGTTATACCCAGGCAGGTTATAGTTTTAACATTACAAACTTCTAATCACTAAGAAGACTGAGTCACCACTGGTAATTAAACAGTGAAACTGGTGTGCACAAGCTGAAACCTTCCATTAGAGAGTGCCATTGGCTGGTCACCAATAATTTAGTTTTAGCTGTACTTAAACATTTGAAAAATTAACAACACATAAGAGCTTATGCACAACTTTTGCTAACATTTGACACCTGCCATTGCATGCAGAACACATCTTTATACATACATTTAAAGAGTTTTGGTTATTCTTAGGGAAGTCCAGGCCATTTATTTTTAATATTGTATTTCAATTACTCTTTCCCGTTTATACAAAGATGTTCATGTCTCTGTGCATCTGTTGATCCTTTGCCTGAGAGGACTATTTCTTTTCTAATTTTAATGCTAGTGCTCCCCCCCACCTTTAGTTTGTGAGCAGATATCTTATGAGAGATCCTAGGATACACACTGCCTTTATTGCTTCTTGATCCTGAAAGGTCAAGCTGAATAGGAAAACATGTCTGATTAGCATTTTAAAACAGAATATTTAAATGGAAATATCTTCACTGTATGTAGTACTAGGCATCAGAAGGACATTTTCTTGAAAACACATAACACCCTCTGAGTGTATTATATGTACATACATATGTGCATATACACATATTAATTAATGGGGAGCACCATCCCACTACTGCCTCCTTCCTCCCTCTCAACTCATCAGACCCTTTGTTCCCTATAGTAGCTCTTCTACTTTCATGTCATATATGCATGTATATACACATATACAGTGATTTTATATAGAACCTAAAAGCCACGAATTACAGAAATACATGTTTGTCTCTAAGATTGGCTTATAAATTATTTTAATGTAGTGATATCCAGTTGCATCTCTTTTCCTGAAAATGCCACCCCTTTATTCATGTGTGTGTGTGTGTGTGTGTGTGTGTGTGTGTGTGTGTGTTTCATATTTTCTCTTCCCATTTTCCTGTTGATACCTAGCTTGTTTCATGACTTAGCTGTTATGGACAGAGCCATAACAGACATTGATACATAAGTGTCTCTATCATGCATGGACTTGGACTTCCTGAAGCAAATGCCCAGGAGTGGCATAGCTGGCTTGTATGCTTGATTTATTTTTAGTTTTTTTTTTCCTTTTTGAGAAAGTGCCATACTGATTTCCATAATGGCTGCAGTAACTGACAGTGTTTCAAGGTACTGTTCACATCCTCTCCCGTATTTATCACCATGTGCTCTTAGTGACTGTCACTCTGATGGGGTAAGAGAAAAATCACACTGTAGTTTTAATTTGCATTTCTAATGTTTTGAGTGATGTTAACCATTTTTAACGTGTTTACTGACCATTTGTGTTTCAACTTTCATTAATTCATTACATTAGCCTATTTATTGATTGATTTATTATTTCATTCTTATTTAATTTTTGGAGCTTTGTATATTCTACATGTTAATTCTCAGATATTTAAGGAGCAAAAATGTTATTCTATTCTGTGATGTGGGACCAAAAACTCTGAAATGGTTAGAGGGAAAAATAAGGAAAACATGTCAGAATACGCTCCTGTACTTTTTTTTTTAACTTTTATTAATTACACTTTATTCACTTTGTATTCCCCCATAGACCCATCCCTCCTCCCCTTCCAATACCACCTTCCCTCCCCCTTCTTCACGAATGCCCCTCCCCAAGTCCACTGATAGGTGAGGTCCTGCTCTCCTTCCTTCTGATCTTTGTCTATCAGATCTCATGAGGAGTGGCTGCATTGTCATCTTCTGTGGCCTGGTAGGGCTGCTCCTCCCTCAGGGAGAGGTGATCAAAGAGCAGGCCAATCAGATTATGTCAGAGGCAGTCCCTCTTCCTATTACTGTGGAACCCACTTGGATACTGAACTGCTATGGACTACATCTGTTCAGGGGTTCTATGTTATCTCCATGCATGGTACTTGATTGGAGTATGAGTCTCTGGAAAGACCTCTGTGTTCAAATTTTCTGGTTCTGTTGCTCTCCTTGTGGACCCCCTGTCCTCTCCAGCTCTTACTATTTCCCACTTCTTACATAAGATTCCATGCGCTCTGCCCAACAGTTGGCCATAAGTCTCAGCATCTGCTTTGATAGTCTACAGGCAGAGCCTTTCAGAGGTCCTCTGTGGCAGGTTCCTAACTTGTTTCCTGTTTTCTTCTTCTTCTGATGTTCATCCTCTTTGCCTTTTGGGATGGGGATTGAGCATTTTAGTCAGGGTCCTCCCTCTTGATTAGTTTCTTTAGATGTATAGATTTTAGTAGGTTTATCCTATATTATATGTCTATATGAGTGAGTATATACCATGTGTGTCTTTCTGCTTCTGGGAAAGCTCACTCAGGATGATCCTTTCCAGTTCCCACCATTTACCTGCAAATTTCATGATTTCCTTATTTTTCATTGCTAAGTAATAGTCCATTGTGTAGATGTACTACAATTTCTGCATCCATTCTTCAGTTAAGGGGGCATCTAGGCTGTTTCCAGCTTCTGGCTATTACAAATAAAGCTGCTACAAACATGGTTGAGCAAATGTCCTTATTGTGTACTTGAGCCTCTTTTGGATATATGTCTAGGAGTGGTATGGCTGGATCTTGAGGAAGCGCTATTCCTAGTTGTCTGAGAAAGTGCCAGATTGATTTCCAGAGTGGTTGTACAAGTTTACATTCCCACCAGCAGTGGAGGAGGGTTCCCCTTTCTCCACAACCTCTCCATCATGTGTTGTCCCTTGAGTTTTTGATCTTGGCCATTCTGATGGGTGTAAGGTGAAATCTCAGGGTCGTTTTGATTTGCATTTCCCTAATGACTAATGAGGTTGAGCATTTCTTTTTTTTATTTTTTTAATTTTATTTTTTTCTCATCAGTTACATTTTATTAACTCTGTATCCCAGCCGTATCCCACTCCCTCATTCCCTCCCAATCCCACCTTCCCTCCCTCATCTCCACCATGCCCCTTTCCAAGTCCACTGATGGGGGGGACCTCCTCCCCATTCATCCGATCCTGTTTTATCAGGTATCTTCAGGACTAGTTGCAAAGCCCTCCTCTGTAGCCTAACAGGACTGCTCCTCCCTGAGCATTTCTTTAAGTGTTTCTCTGGCATTTGTTATTCCTCTATTGAGAATTCTCTGTTTAGCTCTGTTCTCCAGTTTTTAATTGGATTACTTGGTTTGTTGCTTTTCAGCTTCTTTAGTTCTTTATATATACCGGATATTAGCCCTCTGTCAGATAAAGGGTCAGTGAAGATTCTTTCCCAATCTGTAGGCAGTCGTTTTGTTTTGGTGACGGTGTCCTTTGCTTTACAGAAGCTGTTCAGTTTCATGAGGTCCCATTTATTGATTGTTGATCTTAGAGCCTGTGCTGTTGGTGTTCTGTTCAGGAAGTTGTCTCCTGTACCAATGAGTTCTAGGATCTTTCCCACTTTTTCTTCTAAGCGATTTAATGTGTCTGGTATTATGTTGAGGTCTTTGATCCACTTGGATTTTAGTTTTGTGCAGGGTGATAAGTATGGATCTATTTGCATTTTTCTACATGTAGATATTCAGTTAGACCAGCACCATTTGTTGAAGAGGCTATCTTTTTTCCATTGTATGGTTTTGGCATCTTTGTCAAAGATCAGGTGTCCATAAATGTGTGGGTTTTTTTCTTGGTCTTCTGTTTGGTTCCATTGATCCACCACTCTATTTCTATGCCAGTACCATGCAGTTTTTATTACAGTTGCTCTATAGTACAGCTTAAGATCAGGGATAGAGATACCTCCAGAAGATCTTTTATTATAGAGGATTGTTTTAGCAATTCTGGGTTTCTTGTTATTCCATAAGAAGTTGAGAATTTTTCTTTCCAGGTCTGTAAAGAATTGTGCTGGTAATTTGATGTGAATTGCGTTGAATCTGTAGATTGCTTTA